AGAAAAAAAAAAACAATTCGGCAACACAATTTTTGCGCTGGTTCTGCCATCGCTGGGCAGTCTCTAGTAGTATAGTGCGTATATAAAATGCCTAATTATATTGCTACATGCATGCATATTGATATTCTAAGGTGCGATGCGCGTGTGTGCCTGACGAGGAAGACAACGGGTTGTCTCCGCTCGATCGCTGGTGAGCCTGTCACGCCATTACCGCTGGTTTTAAATACATCTAATCCCCAGCCTCGTCGATACGGCATCTTTTCTTTTCCGTAACATATTTGGTGGAAGTGAAATGTTCCCCGTCTTCACCATGAAGCTTCGCAGTGACCGCCTTGTTTAGACTCTGGCCATGGCTACCATTGACAACAACCCATCAGCGTCTCCATCTGTCGCTCCAGCCACTACATACCTGACCATGCCCTACCCCTGTGATCCCGGTACATTCTCCGCACAACCTGGGCTTGATGTTGACTACTGCTTCCGCATGTACGAGCGTGTTAGCCAGACACACCGATGGGACCGTACCATGACGCTCGCCGACGTAATCTTTTACTTGGACGGCACGCCACCTGTTTGGTTCGAGGCCCGTGAGACCGAGATCACCAGCTGGGATATCTTCTAGGAGCGACTACGCGACATCTTTGGGGACCCGTCCAGTCGCCAAATGGTAGCCCAAAAAGAACTCGCCACTCGTGTGCAGTCCTCAACTGAGTCGTATGTCTCGTACATACAGGACGTGCTCGCATTGGGCCGGAAAGTGGACGAGCGATACGACAGAGAGTGATAAGGTGGGCCACATATTCAAGGGAATCGCGGACGACGCCTTCAACTTGCTCGTGTACACCAACGTCACGACTTTAGATATGCTTACTAAGGAATGCCGCTGCTTTGAAATGGCCAAAAGCTGCCGTGTTCTGCTTCAATTTATGCGGCTACCAAACACGGCTGTTACATCAACCTGCACCGATCTTGGTGCCGCACCACCCATGCAGGACAGCGTCCTGCGTTAGCATGAGACGACAAAGACCGTTAGTTCTTTATTGGCTTGACGTGAGAAATAGCATGCAATATTTTTACTATGGTAGCTTGGTCATACGAGTGAGTGCTAAAAACAGCATAAACTTTTTTTTTTATACTTTCTCAGAAAGAAACCATTCCTCTTGTTAAATTATGTAATTTCAGAAAAACGAACACAACACTTAACCTGCGAACGAGGCTATCGTACGCCAGCAACTAAAAGTGGAAACGCACGCCGCGTTTTTAGTGAGCCAAAAATGTGACAGGTGGTGGGCGCCAGTGCTGCCGTGGAAGGCGTCTTGCATGCAAGCCGAGAAGTGTCCCCGCCCAAACCCTATACCTTCCTATGTGCACCTATGTGTTGTTGGGGTGCCGACACCCCTTGCAAAGTTGTTTGCACCGTGTGGCGCAGTGTCTCGCCCAAAGCCGCATTTCGGAGTGACAACTATCGGGCGGTAGGTGGCATTGTGTTCGAGAGAGTTGACCACTACTGTCATCATCATCATCATCATGGTGTAGCGCCGGTGGTGCTCCCCTGGCGGAAAGCAAGCCTTGTTGGCGGGCGAGAGTTGAGGGAGTCTCCTCTGCGCGTGGCGGTTGCCGCAAATGGTTGTCTCTAGCGTGGGTCCTCGGCGCGTGGCACCGCGGGCCTGCGCGCTGGGGGCCCTCGTGGTAAGTCAAGCGTTGGCGACACTGCCTTGGGTGTGTTAGTGTGTCATGTTGTGTGTTTGTCGTGTTATTGTGTAACGATGTCTTCGGGCGTTGATAGTGTTTGATGCATCAATTCGGCAGACGATATCGTAGTTCAAAAGTAAATAAATAAATGTATGTGTGTTCTTTGGTTTGTACCGACCTCGTCAACTGTGTCCTATCACTCCAAGAGCCTGGCGTGGCGCTCGCTCGCTATTTTGAAACTCCAGAGGGTATATCTTACACAGTGTGACTGTGGGAGCATATACTACCCGACGCACGTGGTTCATAGTAACCTTACTAACGACGCCGTCAAAAAGAGCGGTATTGAGGTATTGTGTGAAAGCCAAAATCCAGTGACATTTCCGGAATGTCTTTATGAAACGCGCTGTGATTAGAAGCGGTCTTTGACATCAGCTGGTAAGTGAAATGCAAAAGAAAGCGTTTCTCGACGTAGTCTGCTCGAGTTTTGAACTTCGAGGACTCATAACTTCACTTTTCAAGCACCAATTTCCATCATTCTTGTTACATTCGTCTCAGTAATCATCGCTACATGCATTCCGGTGCTAAACAAGGCTGTCCCAAAAGTGTCGCAGGTCCCCTTTAAGGGCATGCGGTGGGGGATTTCAGAGCACCAATATATACGTGAAGGAGCAACATAAGAGCAGGACCATTCCTTGTTGTACGTCACCCCTTCGATCTTCGAGGGTGTGCTCGCGTGAAGAAGGGAAAGTGGCGTTCCAATCGAAATTTCATATCTTTCACGGTGCATAGCGTTGCAAATCTTGACAGGTGTAACCATGAGAGCCCAGAGCATGCATTAAACTTGTTAGCTCGAAATGTTCAAACCAAGTGAGATGCTCTTTAAGGTGTTCACCGACAGCAAAGAAATTGACACCACGCGATTAGACTCGGCCAATGCGAGGCATCCCTCCTTTTTTGTCTTTTAGCAGTCTGGCTATCTGCTCTTGTGCTCCAATTGTCAGCCACAAATAAAAGAAAGAGACGTATAGGAGTGTTGATTCAATGGTGGACACTGCACTCACCATGCTAGGCAATGAAATGAAAGACCATAATATGCAAACCGTGTGGGAAATGCATGGCTATGTTCAACCGCTGGCACCTTCGTGCTGTCATAAACAGTAACATTTCTTGCTTCCTGTCGCAGATACAGGTCGAGCATGTCTTTGCTTGAAATCACCTGAATTTACGTAAAAGTTTATTGTGCCTTTATTTGCGGTTTCGAAGGCCTGGAACGGTGTTTGAGGTGCCTATTTTTGGTGCCTAAAACACAGGGGTGGAAGTACTGCACCAATAGCGCCATTCTGCGTCAATCTGACTTACTGCGCTAAATGGATAATTTTCGCGATAATTGTCTATTAGAAGTGTAAACCGTCAAAACTAGCGAAATATTGTCGATCAAGTAACACTGAGCATTGCCTATGCAAAGTTCGCGGCTGCTTAGATTTCCAGTGTAGTTCAGTCATGTTGTAATTAGGTTCATTCATAGGGCTTAATAGTGCTCGTTTCATCGCTGTTATCACCGTGATTTCCCCGTAAATGTGGTGGAACCAACACTGGTAATTGTCAGTTGTCTTGTTATACAGATGCACTAAACAGCAGTGCGCGTTTACGAGAACAAATGTGATTCTTTGACGTGCGCCATCGCCACCAATAAACAAAAACAGTATAACAGCAGATGTTGGCCAAAAGTATCCACCAGAATGTCTTTTCCTCCTTTTTTTACCAAAGTGCGCAAAAGATGCCTAGTTGGCACTCTTGCACTATCATTTCATAGCGTGCAGTAGTGACCCCAAGGAGCATTTCGAAAATATTACAGGGCCCGGGATACGCTGCAACTGAGATAGCGACAGCACGGACACTATTGGCTTTCCGCAATTCATCTGCACACTTTTCTACTGCGATCGGATACTAAGCAACAACTGACAGTTTCATTGAAACATGAAGTGGTGACGTGCATGTACTCCTGTTTATTTACGTGCAACACGGTGCCTGTGCTGCCCACGCCGTCGCTGCCTGGCGGCTCCCTGTACCGTCGGCGCGAATTTGCCGTGTGAATTGCTCGCGTCCACACTTCACTCCAAACCGATGAGCAGAGTTGTGCATTTAATTAGCATGGGGAGTGAAGTGCACCGTGATTATTTGCCGTTATGAAAACAAAAGATAAGCATCGCTTATTCCTTCTTTTATCTGAGAATTTTCTGTCAGATGTAATGTTTAATGATGGGAACACACACGCACGCACAATTCTGTGGGTGGTAAATCTCGTAAGCTTATTGTTACTGAATGTTCAGAAAAAGGCATTGCAATTTTTGTTTAAGCAGAAATAGTTTTGATTGACGAAGGTGTTTGACCCTGGAAAGCTGCTCCAAAACAAACTTTCTCTTCTAATCCCGGCTGCGGTGGCTGGATTTCTGATGGAGGTGGAAACGTTGTAGGCCCGTGGGCTCAGATTTGGGTGCACGTTAAATAACCCCAGGTGGTGGAAATTTCCGGAGCCCTCCACTACGGCGTCTCTCGTAATCATATGGTGGTTATGGGATGTTAAACCTCACATATCAATCAAATCAACCAATCAAACTTTCTCTTCTCCAAAACACACATTGTGGTGCTCCAATACATCATTATTCCTGCTCCCTGAGCTGCTCCGAAAAACTAAAGCCCACTTCCACCCCCTGGAAACGAGATTTTCAGTGCCTAAAATACCAGCCTTTAGTAATGAGAAATTAGAAAACGGGGTGGGTGCTGATGCTTCGACAAGCAGACTTCTATTTTTAAAGGCTGCAACTTAAAAAAACAAGTCCGCTTGTTGAAACATTGGCTCCAGCACCCACTCCCGGTTTTCGAATTGCTCATCGCAAGCTTCCGTCTTCACCTTCTTGCATTCCTTTCAGCATCTTCACCTTCTCGCATTCCTTTCAGAAGAGTAAATGTGGTCTTTTAAGCTAGTGGTATTAGCAATACTCGGTGCATTCTGTTGCACCACAGTACCCTTTTTAGGGTGCTGCTGTTTTCTATTTAAAAGAACAATGCCATAATTTTGAAAGTAGCTGTTGGTTAATGGTAAATGTATGGCATGTGGCAAGCCAAAAAAAAAAGGAAATCCTGGCCAAATTCATTGTCACGTGAGCACATTTTTTCTGCCACTTGCCAGAATGATCAAAGCTTGTTTTTGTCTTTAAGGAGAACTTTTATCATTGCATGAGAGCAACATTTTCAATTTCATATTTATTGACGGCTGTCATTTCGGTGGCATGGCTCACCTTATGCAGGTGCACGTGGAAGTGCTTGATGCAAACGATAATTGGCCTGTGTTCTCGGAGAGCCTCTACCAGGTTGAAGTGTCTGAGAGTTCATCTCCTGGCATGAAAATTCTACAGCTGACCGCCACCGATGCTGATGAGGACCAGCGTCTCTTCTATAGCATCCACAACAGGTGAGCATATTCCCACTTGGGGAGGCATATAATTTATTATTGGGTCATTCCATGCCAAACGTCCCAGCCATTTTGGTGACCATCTCAAATGTATTTGAAAAGAATTGTGCTGATTTACTGCATTGAAAACAGTGAAACAGTAGAAAATCTCCTGCAGGAAAACTTTTTCGGCCACGTCGCTGCCTTCTGAATTTATCGGAATGTCGTTTGGGTGTTGTTTATGGAAAAAATTTATTTTAATAGTATCGCTCCTTCTTTCTATACCAAATTTGGTATACATGTTAAGTAAAGGTTCTTGTGTAAGGTGTTTGAAGCTCAGTAACATTTGTGCAACTTTTCTGGCACATACGCCTCCAACAAGTTAGCCAAAACGTGTTGTTTGTATTTTTTTCTCTTGGAATACTACACTTTGTATGAATATCTGAGTATTGAATACTTATTTTACAGAAGGTATATTTTGATAAAGATATATTTTTGGATGTCTCAAGCTGCTTAAACTTTATGAGAAAAATTAACGAATTTTTCAAAATCGTCATTTTTGTTTATATCGAGATGCACTTTGCATCATGTGGTGGTCCAATTAAAAATCACCTTTGTACTTGAAAGCAAATAAACAGTTCTTTTCATATGGCAAATCTTGTCATGGTATTCTTTGTTTTAAAGAAGAAAATAATTTTTTAAAAATTTTCCATTGATGGCAACAGAGAATTTCGAGGCGGCAGCTGTCGTATGACCAAATGGGAAGATAGGTGCCATTGGGAATGTTCAAAATTTTTTGCTTTTTTAAAACATAAAATGTAATAATAAGGTTTCTTATATAAAAAGAACTGCTTATTTGCTTTTGGTTTAGGTATAAAGGTGATTTTCAATTGAACAATCACTTGGTGCTAATTGCGTCTCAATATGTACGAAAATGACAATTTTGTGAAATTTATGATTTTTTTCTTGTGAATTAGCTGCTTGAGATGCCTAAAAATAATTTTTTCTCAAAATATATTTTGTGGAGTAAGTATTCATTACTCAGACATTCATACAAAGTGCAGTATTGCAATAGAAGAAATACAAACATAATACATTTTGGCTAAATTCTTAGAGGGGTATGTGCCAGTAAAATTTCACTAGTAATACTGAGCTTCAGACATCATGCACAAACACCTTTATCTAATATATGAACTAAATTTGGTATAGAAAGTAAGAGCGATACTTTAAAGTAAAATTTTTCACAAACAACACTCATACGACATTCCAGGAAGTCCAGAAAGCAATCATGAGACCAAAAAATTTTTTCTCTAGAAGATATTCTACCGTTTGACTGTTTTGAATGCAGTAAATCAGCACACTTTTTTTCGAATACATTTGAGAGTGTCGCCAAAATAGCTGGGATGTTTGGCATGGAATGACCCTACTGCATTGGTGCAAGTGCTATTGTAATGCTGTACTTTGGAGCTGTGCCTTCGTGTAAAAATGCACTTGCCGCTTTTTGTGAATTCTATAGCGAAAACGGTGTATATAAAATATAAAATGCACATAAGTTTGTCTGCGTGATCAAACCTTGCAATGCGTGCTTGTGTCTTCATTGCAAAAACGTTGTACTTCTCTGTAGGGCAATCGTTTTAGTGCTAGCTACAAATTTTCACAGAATACAACTTGTGTCATACAATAATTTGCTGCGGGGCGCTAATGTCCTAAAAAATTGAGTCAGCAGTGATCAAACACTAAGTCTAATTGTGCATACTGACAGTTGCCATAACTTTCTTTCCTTTTCTTTTTTAAAGCATAGAAAAACGCTGTGCATTGCACTTCACTCAAAGCTGTCCACCGCATCGGGCATGTAACGAAACGAAATCAGAGTCCTATAGCGGACAAGTGATGTCATGTTTTATTGGCAGCCATTATTATAAAAACCAGTACATGCTGAGGTGCCATCTGGCTGTACTGTTGCACACTACATGGGTAGTACAGTCATGCTGTGGTACTGCAGTACACTACAGAAGCTATCGAAGGCCTCATCCTTCAAAGAACTTGTGAAAATTGTGGTGGTTTCACATGAAGAGCTATGAGTGATAGAAATGCATGTAACAGCTGTTAAGAAGACCATAATTTTATGAGCTGAACACAGTTCAGTAAACATTTGTGTACTAATGAAATTGAAAGTCTGTGCACACATAGACACAGGTGCATCTTATTTGGTGGCTGTGAACATTGCCTTTCTGAGTGCTAGTGTGATGCACAGCTTGAACAGAAGTGAGCTAATGCAGTGGGTTGCTTCTTTGAGATTATGACAGCTGTGACATCTATCATTTGACATGAGTAGGGGCTCCAACTTAGAGGATTGAAATGACATGGTGTTGTTGGATTTTGGTTGGCTACGGCAGCTTACTGGCAGGTCCAACTCCTCCTGATATTGGAGGCTTATGTTTTTTTTTTTCACCCCCAAAACCAGCGACATCACAGACACTTCTACTTCTAAGAACCATGTGCATCTGCTAATGCTGTGTGAGGAACGTACTGACAATATTGTTTGTGCTGCCCAGCCAAATGAGTTATGATGATATTATCGAGGCTCACTTTGATTCCGAACCACAGAGCAAAAAAGACAAGAGAAAAAACTCCGGGTTGGTGCCTGTGTGAGTGAAAATGTCACCCTGGGAAAGGACGTTGGCGAATGTTTACCCAGCGATCCTCGCCACAATGCATGGAACTATTGTTTGCTGCTGCAGTGGCTGAGTTCGCACGCCCGCAGTCTCCACAACGAAGCCCGGGCGTAGTCTGCTACATCTTGCACTGGCCGTTTGCGCTATGTAGCCATGTGCTACAAAAAAGAAAAAGAAAAAGAAAGTTTTCAGTCAGAAATGTTCACACTATAAAAATTAAATCAGAGCAAAGCATCTTAGTGCCATTTCTCTTTAATATTTATATTTTGTATTGGATGCTTTTAACACAATGAAAAGAACACACTGGCACACTTCAGATAGAAGACGATCTGAAATTGTAGCAGGCACATATAGAAGAATGGTGCGGCTTGGCATTTCGTAAATTTTTCAGTATAACAAAAGATGACAGTTTGTTCTAGATGGCATACGCCATAAAAAATGCTGATCAGAGCATGGAATACACAGCTGATGTGCGAGGATAAAAAATTTAGTCACCTTTCTGCGTCACATTTGGTCAGACATGAACAGATAGAGCAATGTATGTGTTGGCTTCGAGAATCAACACACTGCATGTTTGGTAGTAAGACGGTAAGTTGGGCCAGTTGGTTAGCGCCGTCTTTTCTTTTCTCTTTTTGCTCCTTCCCTGTCCTGTATTTTTTCTGGTGTTGTGCTGTAAGTAAGTTCATGTTTGGTAGTACCTGCGCTGCTGATTTGCGATGTGTGTTGACTGTACAAGGTTGCCGATAGTCAACATGGGGCATCAATGCTTTGTTCCGAACTGCAACAGTAGATATATAAGTCTTGCACTGAAAAAGTTTGCACCTTCAAAGCTCCAGCTAATCCTGAATGCTTGCAGGAATGGGCGAGAGCTGTAGGCCGGGTGGATTGCAATCTTACAACATGAGACTACATCTGCGAAAAGCATTTCCTTAGTGAAGTGGTGCTCAGGTGCAAATACTACGGGGAGGTTTGTGATAACCTCGCTACCCACCAAAGTCAAGATTACTGCAGGTTCAAGCTTGGCGAGCCACAGGCACGCGTTGACTGTCACCTGCTCACGTGTAGCGCAACATTCCTCACGCACTCAACTCGCAAAGTGTTAAACACGGTTTTAAAACAGAGTGTTCGATCTAACAAAACACGCAAACGCTTTATTGCCTGTGGTAGCACCCCAAACAGAGTACAATGTCCAGTCCTAGGACGCAGGGAGCAAAGGGCTCCCACACGCAGTCGTTCATGAAAAAAAGGGAGACTGTGAGCACTTCGTAGCCAGCAATGGCGAGCATTGACACGCCGGTCGGGAAACGGCGCCTCGCAGCTATGCTGCGCACTCCCACGATGGCCACTGGGCCTGGTCGTGAGAATTAGGGAAAACCTCATACGTGTGGGCCTCCGGCAAGTGCGGCTTGGCATAGTATGACCACGTCAGGCACTAGGCACCGATTTGTGGCTTATCATATGGAACCAGAGCTACAACAAAAAGTAAACACGCCCGCCTAGGATGCCTAGGCACCCAGGCAAGCTACAATCCGACAATTCCCAAAGAAAACATGAACAAAGAAAAACATGCCTACCGTGTGCTGCCTGAGGAGAAAGAGAGCCTTCCTGGCATGCACGGGACTCGGTCTTGCAAACTTTCGCAGCACCCAGAACATGCGTCGCACTCGCTCGTGGCGCAATCTATTGGTGCACGTCGTGACAAGAGTATGGGAGAGTAAAAGGGAGCAGCCATATGGTGGAAATGCCCACGAAGTGGCTGCGGGCGTGCCTCAGATCCCCATAGCTTGAAGGGGCAGTCATTCCTGACGAATCAAAGAAGCCAGTGTTGCTTCCTGGGGCAGCTCCTTGCATTTCTTGAAGTTTCGCCGCTCTTGCATCCAGTGAAGAAAATCAGAGCCAGCCAGAAAGTAACTGCCGATGAAAGCAGCGCCAAAAGAGTGAAGGTAGATAGTGTACGTCACAATTCAGTAGCCACCAACAACCAGAATAGCCTTCAAACAAATACAAACTTCAGTGTGAGCTCCATCACCCTGGAGGGATTCACGTCTGGGCATTCAAGTATATTGCGCATGAACTCTCCACCACAGCCAAGCTGCAATTCACTACTTCTGCTGAGGAAGATGTTCCGATGCAGAAAACAGAAGCAGGGGTTTTGTTCCCTACAGCAGGCTGGCTCCAGCAGTTGTCCAGTGAACATCACATACCAATGCCAAACCCTGCATGGAAGCACCACTATATGAACGTTGATAGTGTTGAATGCCTTTTTCTTGTATACTGTAGTAGAGCAAGAGTGCCCGGTCACCGTTTCTCCTTTTACGGCAGCGCGGCAGCCTAGTTGCGACTCGA